CGCGACCAGTCCTGAATATTGAAAATCCGTGGGTTAGCCCGACAAAACACACATGGTTCAGGTGGGGGCGCTACAGTGGTTCGTTGCAACAGTCATTATCCAGTTTAAACAATGCAAAAGAAGGCATAATCACGTTGTAGTGTAGCATCAAGATTGCAGTACTGTGGAGTATCGATTATGACGTGAAAATGAGAAAATTATATTGTCAAACACCGGAAACATAAACTTAAGAGAGGCCTAAACTGCGTAGGTACTCACCAGTGTCTAAGTTCACCACCGGTTAACAAATCGCGAACGGAGCTAGGGAAGTTGAAGGAACCATCGTCTTTGCGTCTGAAGAGTTAACCTGATCAATGACCCAGAAGTTCGTGTAGACCAGTGCTTATTTCAAACGCCTGAGAGACATTTGTCAGAAAACACTGCTTGTCGTTTTCACAGAGGAAGGTGGCTTTGGGATCCTGAACCAGAGAAATGCTGTTAGATGTGAAAACTGATCATCAATATTATAGATACGAGCAGCAGTCTGTGTTCAAAACAAATATACGGATCTGGTAAGCAAAACCTAAGAGTTCAAACTTTATGGAAATTACTTCGAAAGCGATGGAAGAATTTGTAACTGGTGCGTTAAATTAGAAGGAAAACTAACACAAGCGTAAGCATATGCAGTAAAATGGTAAGAAATTAAAACCGTGCACAATTACGCTAATATTTATGCTCTGAGTAATTTGATATGATTTGCGTCCGTTAATGCATAAAAGATAACAATTAAAGGAAATACAAATATCGAACAACTGAGACAGATTAACCTATGAAAAGACTAAACCAATCAGATTATTAAATATTAGGGATTGCTATTAAACGCGCTGACTAATTAAGCACGCGGGTTAATCCGAAGGGTTTTTACGACATCACCGTGGTGAATTTGTGACTTTGATTGGGAAATACATCAGAATACATGTGCAGGATAAGAGTAGCATATAATGAGTGTGCAGGTAAACAGTCATACCTGGAAATGCGCTTTTAT